CTGGGGGCATAGTGGGGAAGGCACTTAGCTACTAACCAGAAGGTCAGTGGTTCAAACTTATCACCAGCTGCTCCATGGGAAGAAGATGAGGCAATCTACTTCTGTAAAGATTTACAGACTTGGAAACCCAGTGGGGGTTGCTAGGTATTGGAATTGAGTCCAAGGCAGTGGTTTTTCTTTTTTGTTAAATATTGTAATACTTATTTCTAATCCTTTTCAAAATAAAAGAAATGAAACATTTTTGACTCCTGGTTAGATGGCAGAATAGGCAAACAAGCTACACAGACCCACTTCAACAAAGAAAAGAGAAACAAATTGACAGAGATACAGAAGATAATCCTGGAGCCCTGAGCTTTGAAAGGAAGTACAAAGAAGTGGACTAAGTACCAACTAGTTGAAAAACCTGAATGAAAACAGTGAGTACAGAGATGGTCGGAGCTGTGGGCTGTCAGCTACTCTGACAGCACCAATAGCCTGAATATTTCCAAGTGGTGTTGGGACCTGAGAAATGACTTAAAGATCAGCCCTGGTCACCAAGGGCTGCAGGGAGGACTGTGCTGGTGGCCTATGAATAGGAAGGGAAAAAGCAAGGAGGGAGACAACCTGAGCTGTGGATTTTCAGGTTCTGGAGAGTACAGTCATTTTGATTGCTTACAAATGGCCATTTTGGATATTTCAAGTGACCAAGGATACAGTCATTTTGAATGTTTAGAAGCAGCAGCCATTTTGGATATTTAAAATGACTACGCATGCAGCCATTATGAATGTTTACAAGTGGTGACCATTTTGGATATTTTAAGTGAACGCATTCTCATTCAGATTCCAGGGACTTAAGAATAGGCTCCATTTGCCAAGGACGGCAGGGATATATGGGAGGCTGACAAGGGGAAAGGAGACAGGAGGTGAGTGTATAAGTGCTGCCAACTAGCAAACAGAGGAGCACAGTACCCTGCTTACGTAGATAAAACCCAAAGAAAACAAAAATTGTAGACAAGTCACTCCAGCATACATTCACCAATTAAATATAAACAAAAACGTCACAATGTCTTGGAGACAACATAGCGTCACAGTCCACACAAAGAAGCAAGATATGGCAGGAGAAACAAGGGACCAAGATACAGACCCAGAATACATCCCTGAGGAAGAAGTAGCACTGGGACTCCCTGATAAGGAATTTAAAAGAATTGTATTTAGGTACCTTCAACAGATTGAGAGACAGATCAAGGAAAACACTGATAAAATTGGAGAAAACACTAGAACGATTCTGAAAGACAATAAAAGAACAAAATGACAAAATAAATTAAAAATTAGAAATGATACAAAATCTACA